TATCATAGCGAACCTAAGAGATCTATCGTACCGTACAAGGGGATCTCTCGGATCGGGGAGCGCCTAGCTCTCGTTCCGGAAAACTAGCTCTTCCGACGTCGTGATCGCTTCGCTTAAGCGTGCTCCTTGGCACGTGCATGCTGCGTGATAATTGATTGCTTAAGTGCACGGTGACCGGGGACGGAAATTCGGCGAGAGCTTTGTGCCGTGTCCGGCGCAAGCCTTACCAGCTCCTGCAAAATCAAGTAAGTCCCGTGGCGTAGATATTCCGCCTAGCGACCTGTCTAGTGATACTTGCACGAGTTGGCTACATTAATCCATTCTACCGTTTCCAGCTTAAAGAATGCTTTGAGTAACACGCTTGTTCCCTTGTTTATTATACTGCCTAGAGTGTATAGCGTATGTGAAGCCAGCGCGACGACGCAACGCCCCCGATATCACGAGTTGATATCCGAAATCGGTCCTACGATAAACTATTTCTGTAAAAAGTGTCTTGTTAATGGTCTTTGTATCTTTTTATTTTCTTTTGCTTTATTCTCTTATATAATTATTACCGCCGCGACAACGCGATCTCGTCGTATCCTATCGGTGAACTTTATTTTGTATTTTTGTTTGTTATTTTCGCCAAGTTGTCTCTTATTAGGCGGCGTTATAATAAATTGTTTATTTTTTTCTCTCTATCTGCAGTATGGTTGATTGCGAACCTAATCCGAGATTCGCTTGGGACAGCCGTGTTTATTTATCATCCGACCCACCCCCTCTCCGTTTCAAATAGGGCTAGTCGGCCCATTGTGTTGAGCGACGCATATTATGACGCGAGTACGCGTCTGGCGCCCAAAATTTTATCTAAGAATTCGTCGGCTCGGCGCAGTGGTATGCTCGGTTTATCACCCTTTTCTCTCCTGCTGATCTAGACGTTTCCTATCTCGCGGATTTCCGTCCGTGTCCCGATCTCGTATCTTTTCGTTTCGGGCGGGACGACGCGAGAATTTCGTAACATCAGAAAAAAACGTCACAATAGATAGATAGATAGATAGATAGATAGATAGATCCCGGCCGCTTTCCCTCCACCTTGTCGTGGTGGCCGGGCTTCAGGGAACTATGATCCAGGGGCCATGCCGGCGGAGACTTTTTTGAGTCTTTGGTAGGGTCACCCATGCTCGGAAGGGCCCCTGGTGAGTTTCTGAACTAAGAGAGGGAATAGAGGAAGGAAAACCTCAAACAAAAATCCGGAGTTCTCAGCTCCGTTAGCCCCCAAAAACGGGGACAACTGGGATAGGGGAGTAAACCCTGACTTCAAATCCGGGCAGGTCGGGCTTGTTAAACTTGGATGTCAACTGGCCTAGGAGAAAGAAAACTCCGAAATTAAACCACTCATCTGAAGAACATGATGAGTAGCTCAGAAGACGAGAGAACCTTACCGGCCCAGAGTGATCGGACACTCAGGGCCCGGCGTGGGGGTGTTGCCGTCCCAGGCACCCCCATGTCGTTATCTTGAGATGGGCTACCCTCCGCCTGCACCGCAGGGGTGGGAGGGGAACATACGACTGCGAGGGCGCGTTCCGACATACTCGCGCTAGGTGCGCGACGTATGTTTAGGGCGTCGGTCTCTCTCACAAAGGGTAGCGCCGTTGGCGCCCCTTCTGGGGGAGAGAAAACGTAGAAGCCGGCGGGGGAGCGTTCTCGCTCCCCAACATACGCTGGCTTGTCCGGGTCCCCACCTCCATCTGGGGGCTCGGACATGGAGGTAGAGGAGGACGCCTCCACGCCGGCCCCCAGCACGAGTGGGGGCATGAGAAGACCGCCGACTGCCGCCGAGTTTCTCGGTATAGTTGCAGCCGAGAAGCGTGCCTCGGATGCGAGGCGGGCGGAAGCGGTCCTTGAGCTGGAGGACGAGTGCTGGCGCGACAACACCCGGCTGCCGTCCTCCAGACTCACGTGCCCGATTGCCTCCGTGGCTAAAATGGTGCAGAAGACGCACACAGCCGCGGAGGGCGTGATGAAGGTAGCCACCACTTCAAAGAATCTTGCCGGCCGGTACGTCAAGATCCTGAAGGAAGTGGCGGCCACTATAAAAGAACTGGGCGAGGGCATTGTTGCCCTCGTCTATATACCGGAAGAAGCAGCGAGGCCGGAGCTGACCGGGCCTGGCGCGCTCGTGGATGAGCGCGTCAGGACACTGGAGGAAAAGCTCCGGCTAAGCAAGGAGGCCAGGAGGATTATGTCCTCCCGGTATAAAAAGGTCCGCGAGATGCTCGACGCGGCCTACGAGAAGAGTTTTTCCCTCGTAGGCGCGTCGAGGAAGAAGGTCGCGGATTGCGGGACGCAGGTCGGTGGACCTGCGCTTCCCTTGAAGGCGACCGCGGCGACGATCCCGCCGCCAAAGACGGACTCCCGGGGAATCCAAACAGAGGGGGGGGGCGGATGAGCCCCTCAAGGAAGATCCTCCTCTGGATCTCCCGGAAGATAGATGTGTCCGCCTTTCGGCGGACAATATTGGGGACGCAAAGGAAGGGCAAATCCTCTCTCTAAGTAGGAGAGCGCTTGCCCCTCAGTCCTCAAACGCGCCTGCAGCCGTACTCGCCCTGACCACCTAGGCGACGGTTGTGGGGCGCAAGGCGCGAAGAAGGGGGAAAGAGCCTCCCCCTTCTGAGGAAAAACGGTGCCCTCCCACTGCTCCCGTTGGCGCGAGTCAGCGCACCGGGGCAACTGAGAGGGCAAAACTCGGCAGGTTTCCAACTGGGGCTGCCGTCCTCTTTACCGTGGGGGAGGGCGGCAGCTATGCCGAAGTTATGAAGAAGGCGGCGGCCGCCGTTAATTTGAAGGAGTACGGAATCTTCGGCCTCCGGATAAAGAGATGCCAATGGCGGCATGCTCCTCCAGGTACCCGGGCCTGGAGAAGCCGAAAAAGCCGACGCCCTCGTCGAGAGGGCGTCCAAAGCGCTGGTGAGAGTAGAGGGGGTAAAGTTCACCCGTCCCACAAAGCACGCGGAAATCCGAGTGCGGGACGTGGTGCCCTCCTTTTCTGCGGAGGACATTGCCGCCGCATTAGCGGCGGCAGGTGGATGCCAGCCCAGTGAAGTTCAAACTGGACTGGTTCGCTCCTCTCCCGTCAAGTATGTGACCTTATGGGCCCGTATGCTCTTGAGGGCAGCCCGGCGGGTAGTAGGGGCAAAACGGGTAGAGGTGGGGTGGTTCAGCCTCCCCGTCGAGGCACTGGCGGCACGGCGTATGCAGTGCTACCGGTGCTTCGAGTACGGGCACGTGTCACGCAAATGCTTTGGTGTAGATCGGAGCACGGGGTGCTACAGATGCGGGGGGGGGAGTGGCCATTTCGCCATCTTCTGTAGGGCTGCCCTTAAATGCATGTTGTGTGCGAGCCGGAGGCAGCCAGCAAACCACCGGATGGGCGGCGCAAGCTGCGCCCCCATGCCGGTGAAAGAAATAGCCACCAGGCGGGGCGCCGGAGTTCCGGCGTCTACGCTGCCACCCGGTAGCAGGGTAGGCGGGGAGGGGGCGGTGCCTGACCCTTTCCCAAAATAGAAGAAGAGATGGGCCCGCAGTGCCGGATCCGGCGAAAACTCCACCGGCTGGGAGGAGGACGGAAAGGGGGTTTGCTTCCTCTCACCGGTGGGGAGCGTGGCCCGGCTGTGGCCGGAGAAGGGCGAAGGATGGGGAGACGTCCCACCCGCATCCGCCCCCTCTGAGATCACTAAGCCCGCCGTGGGAGAAAGGGGGGAGGCCTCTGAGGCCTCCGCTCTAAGCAAAGAGCCCACCGGCTCCCGGGAATTGCCGGAGACCGGTGAAAAGGGGAGTGGGGACGGCGCGATACCTCCCCCTCTTTCCAAAAGAAAAGCGTCCAGGACCAGAGACCGTAAGATCGCTAGCCCCCGGACACAAACAGGTGCGGCGCCAAAAGCGCCGGGTTCAGGGGGAGGCTCCACTAAGGAGCCCTCCCCCAAGCGGCAGAGGGGAGGCAAGTCAGCCTCCCCTTCACCAAGAAGAGAAAAACCGGGACCTAAGTCCTCCAAGTCGAGCAAATAAGCTCGGGTTGGGGGCAGTTCCCGTGCTCGGGGTGGAGGGGTCACGGCTTGGGCGTGATCCCTGGACCCAGCCTCTGTCAAGGAGCTGCTTGGTCGCGGGAAAGGGACACGAATAATCGTATTGACCCCTCCTGACTTTGGTCACGGCGGGCGGGGACTTGGCGTGGCAAGTTGGGGAACTTGCTACGCCAATGCACAAGTCCTCAGGGAGGGGCGGTTTGAGGAGGGCTGTGGCCCCCTCCTTTTGCCGAAACCCCAAAGGCGATGGGGGCGTTGTCTTTTGGGGACAAGTCTTGGACCAGAGAGGGCCTGGAGATGTAATAGCCTACTGGCTGCCACATGCTCCCCCGCTATGTCCGGTTGAGGCCATTGAGGGGTTTTAGTGGGTGCGAGTCCCACACTCCTCGCCCAAATCTCCACAGAGCGGGGGTGCATAACGCATTTCCCCTCATAAAAAAAAAAAGATAGATAGAGAGAGAGAAAGAGAGAGAGAGAGAGAGAGAGAGAGAGAGAGAGAGAGAGAGAGAGAGAGAGAGAGAGAGAGAGAGAGAGAGAGAGAGAGAGAGAGAGAGAGAGAGAGAGAGGTTACGTTCCAAAATTCTATCTTACTATTAAATGCAATATTTCACGTCACGTATACTATAGTTCTTAGTTCCCAAAGTAGGATTTTAGAATGTAACCTTTCTCTTTCTCTCTTTCTCTCTCTCTCTCTCTCTTTCTCTCTTTCTCTCTCTCTCTCTCTCTCTTACGTTGCTTCAATGTAAAAATATGCGTATATATTATAGCATTGATATGCAATAAAAGACATACAATCATTCATATTCTCGTATTTCTATTTTTATAAATATAACGTTATTATACATGTAAAATATTAATATTTGTATATTACAATATATGAAGCTAACATTTTGCATTTGCCAGGACAGCACAATAAAAAGATTGAGATATACATATACTTTATCTTTAACAATCACAACACAATTGAGAGAGAAAACTGAACTTTACACACACACCCACACACACATATATCTCCATAAGAGAGATCGTCATCCACGCCATTGTTTCGTTTGCTGGCGGTTGATCGTTCGCTGGCGGCCAATTGTTAGCTGGTGGCCTATTGTAAGCTGGCGGCTGATCGTTCGCTGGCGGCCGATTGATAGCTGGTGGCCTATTGTAAGCTGGCGGCTGATCGTTCGCTGGCGGCCAATCGTTAGCTGGTGACCTGTTGTAAGCTGGCGGCTGATCGTGTGCTGGCGGCTGATCGTTCGCTGGCGGCCGATTGTTAGCTGGCGGCTGATCGTTCGCTGGTGGTCGATTGTTCGCTGGTGGTCGATTGTTCGCTGGCGGCCGATCATTCGCCAGCGGCTGATCGTTAACTGGTGGTCGATCGTTCTCTGGTTGTCGTTCTTTAGCTTCTTTCACGGGAGATCGCTCAAGTATTGGTACACTTTGTCCTGAAAAAAGAAATATTTATTTATTTATTTGTTGAAATATATTAAAAATGTATTAAAATAATACATGTGTGTGTATTAAATTATTATAAAAAAAATAATAGAATTACTTACGTCTTCGTCTCCTCACCGTACCCGATCCCGATGCTACCGTTGCCCACGACTCCATGTTGAATAGTGACGAAACCGGCGCATTGATACCACTGTAATCACTCACAGCGATCACGTGTCGATACGACGATCTATTTTCCGCATGCGCAATTGCACGTATAAGCGCGTTCTATGCGCGATACGCTTGCCGCGCTGCGGAAGTTAGTTAGGAAATAACGCGGGAAAATGTGGTAGCCAATTATATATATATATATATATATATATGTCGCTGCTTCATAAGAACAAATTGCTCATTGGTTCTATTGCTCTACGTGTCGTTCTTTGTTACGCGTAACATTTTTATGCGTTTTGTTTATCACCATGTGATCATATTATTCGTTAAAACATACAAACGTGAAACGTTCACATCCTCTTAGCTCAAAGTTATTGGCGGTAAAATAATAATTAAATTAGTTGACCGTTGCTCATATCAATCAAGTTTTACTTAATATTATTTTTATAGCACTACAATTGAACACTTTTATTAACATATCATTGTTATAATTACGGAAACATTGTATTTATTACTCTGAGGACCATATTCAGTCAATTTTAACTTTCTGTCGAAATTTTTCTTTACTTTTTTTTGTATAACTTTTTTGTTACATTCAAAGAAAACTATGAAAGTAACAACTTTACAAAGTACAAGTTATTTAGAGAAAAATACACTAAAAATATACATATACATACATAATATTGTAAGTTGTTTTCAGTACATGAAGAAGTACTCGCATTTGTAGACACATAGTTAGTATAGAAACGTGTTTTATCTTAATAAGCAAATTGTAAAAATATTGCACAAAAATAGCATTATGAATGACGATGATTTTACAATGATTGCACAACGCATGAATCGCCATTATGCAACACCTTTGTCAAAATAAAATGTAGTATTTATAATATTTATCAAAAATTACAAAAGAGTTGTGCATTTCCACAAGTATAAACATTTATTACTTTTTTTTCATGTGCAATAATATTTCTACATGTTTTAAACATTACATAGCTGAAATGTTTTTCTCCATTATAAAACAATGTCTTTTTAAATTTAATTTTGCAAACATATTGCTATGATAATTTGCCATATCGTTATTGTTTTGCCAAAATAGTATTTGTAAAATAATTTTGCAACAGTTAAACATATTTTATTATAAATAAATATTTTGACATCTATTTCTCCAAATATATTTACATAATTGCAAGTTTCATGCAAGTCATATTTTTGTCACATATTTTTATATTTTCCTATCGGAATGGATGATAANATAACGCGTAATAATTGCAACCGATTGAAGCTGCGTTACGATTTTCACTGCCAGTACTAAAAATTTCATCTTTACGTCACATGTAATATTAATTTCCAGTACTGCCAGTGTACATTATATTAAAAACGGAGCTTGGAACGTTATTGGTTACGAGCGTCGCGGTTGTCGCGTGGTTACCAGTTGAATGTGAGGGAGGAAAGGGCGAATTAGTGTGCGCGTCATATCTTGTTCGCAAACCGTATATCTCGTTCGCGTAATATTCACAGTAGGTTATCTATACACGTGTAAAAATATTAATACATATAAATAATATATACGTATACAAACATACCAGGTCTATACATATGAAACCGGTATTTTTTTCAATAAAAAACACATTAATTTTAAGTGAATGGTAACAAATATTTTATTCAAAGTTTGCGCCCTCGCTGGCTACACATTTTGTCCACCTCTCAGGCAATTTATGGATACCTTGCCAAAAAAAGTCTTTGTTTTTTGAAGCAAACCAGTCATCGAGCCATTTTCCAACATTTCCGTAAGAAATGAAGCGCTGTTCGCTAAGTGCGTGTCCCATC